AAAAATAGTACTGTTGTCAAGCTGTGAGGAATTGTTTACAGTTGCCTGGGAAGAAAACAGAAATACTATAGCCAAATGGTGGCAGTTTGCCTGAGAGTCTAGAAAACAGAACACGTTTCTCCCTTCCATCTGCTTAGAAATGTAAAAAGCACTACAACCAGCCAGGGGAATGCTGTGCTCTGAATAAGCAAAGTAAACCGAGACAGAAAGACCTCATGGCGCAGACCAGGACAGGAAAGAGGGCTCAGTGTGGGGCTTGAGGAGTTTCTCCTACCTCTGAACGTCTTAAAGCCCTGTCCTGGCTGAAAGGCCACAGCGTGCCGTAAAGCACTAAATTCAAGTCACCCTAAGGAGACTGCACTTTGAGTATGGGTTGTGCCTTTTTTATTATTAATCATTTTATTCGGGGGCTCTTACAAATCTTCTGACAATCCATCATTCCGTTGTATAAAGCACACTTGTACATATGTTGCCATCAACATTTCCAAAACATTTTCTTTCTACTTGAGCCTTTAGTATCAGCTCCACTTTTTAACCCCCCTTCTCACCCACCCTCGTGAATCCTTGATCAATTATATATTATTTCATGTCTTACACTGTCCATTGTCTCCCTTCACCCACATTTGTTATTCGTCCCCCAGGGGGGTGGGCTTTATATCCAACCTTGTGATGGGTTCTCCCTCTCCCCACTTGACATCCCCCTACCCTCTTGATATTGCTACCCTCCCACTACTGTTCCTGAGGGTTATCTGTCCTGAATTCCATGTGTAAGAGGTCTTGTCTGTCCCAATGTGTATACTCCATTCTAGCCAGATTTGTAAGGTAGAACTGAGTCATGCATGGTAGTGGGGGATTGGGAAGCATTCAGGAACTAAAGGGATAATATGTGTTTTGTCAGTGCTATATTGCACCCTGGTTGAACTGCCCTTTCCTTGTAACCCTTCTTGGGGGGGGATGTCCAGTTATCTACAGATGGGCTATGGGTCTCCACTCCAACCCCCATCATTCACATCGATAAATTGTTTTGGGTCTTTTGATAACTGATACCTGATCCTATCTACACCTCATAATCACACAGGCTGGTGTACTCCTTCCACGTGGGCTTATTTGCTTCCCTACTTCTTGTTTAATTTTAAGCCTTTAAGACCCCAGATACTTTATCTTTTGATAGCTGGCACCATCTGCTTTCTTCACCACATTTGCTCATGCACCCATTTTGTTTTCAGCAATCGAGTCAGGAAGGTATCGTAAAGAGTGCCAGCTTATTAGAACAAAGTGTTTTTGTGTTTAGGGAGTCCTTGAGTAGAGGCCCAAAGTCCCTCTGCTATCTTAATACTTAACATATAAATATATGTACATTGGCCTCTATCGCTTTCATTATAAATATATTTATATATATACGTGCCTATAGCTATACCTTTATAGCTTTTGCTTCCTATTTCTTTCCTCTGTTCCTTTCACCTTCTTCTTGTCCTACTATCATGCTCACCCTCCACTCAGCTCTCAGTAATTCCTCTTGGATACATTGCACTTGATCAAACCCCACCAAGCCTCTTCACCATCATTTTTAGATTTCTTGTTGTTCCCTCATCCCTGCGTTTGTTGGCTTCCTGCTCCCCCTCCCTACCCCATCCTCTCCCATGTCCCCCAGGGACTGCTGGTCCAGTTGTTTTCTCCTTTGGATTCTTTGCCCCACCTATTTTATATAGACATAGGGTGCAAGAAAGGGGGAAAAAAACATAAAAATCTATCTGCTAACCCTTGAGTGTTTTATGAGGCGCCAAGCCCTGTCCCCTGAGTCAGAAGTCTTATTTCAGGATTCCTCAGGCACTTAGTTACTTTGCTCCCCTTGCTGCCCTGTTGTACTCCCTTGGCGTTTCACTCTGCCATGCTTGGGGCAGACCAGGCACACTTTGCACAAGGTGTCTCCAGTGCTACCCCCCCATAGCACACTAAGGTTCAGTGAAGGAACGTTGTCTCATGGTGCGGCTGGCCCTATGGTCCTGTGTGCATTGGCTGCTCCAAGCAGGGATGTCGTCCCGGGTCTTGGTGGGCCATGATGAGGTTCGTTCTGCCTCTCCCCTCTTCCTCCTAGTTCACACCCGTGTGGTCTGGACAGACCCACCACTCTCCCCAGGCTATATCTTCAGTGCTGTCATCTGCATGATATTCTTCTGGGGAGCGGGTCAACATAGCTCAGGTCTGGGGGTTGTGCCTTTTTTAATGTTTATGTGGATAGGCTAAATTTAAAAGCCAAAGAGTAGACCAAGAGATCAACTCAGCAAGGCTCTTGGATACATTCTCCAGCTCTCGACCAAGGCCAGCTCCTTTCACGGTTCAGTGTAATTACTCTGAAAGTCGTAAAGGGGGCAAGTGGGGCACCAAATCCCCAAATTGGATGCCCATCAGCCTATTATGAAAGCTAACACTAAGCCTCTCCTGAGTTTGACTGATTACAATCTAATCAGAAGCTGTTCCAAGCTGCTCCGGAGCCCAGCCTGGAATTCCTGAGTAGCCTGCATGAAGGACTAACTTGGTCCTTGAAATGGCTGCAAGGAACCTTGGGACTTGGGTGGCCAAGCCTCCTTCATGAGAAGTGAAGCAGCACCTCCTTTCCCTTTGTCCTCAGAGGCCATTGTTGAAATGGAATCTCATTCTTTGAGTTTTTCTGTCCGTAGCCTTTTCTGCCCATCTGCCATCACAGGGACGTCTGCCCACATTCTGTGGAGTGTGTTCTTGAAAGAAGGGGACATGATTGCTGTTTTCTTTTCTCAGCTCGTAAACACCAGTGAAAACTTGAGCAAAAGTCGAAAGATTCTCCGGTCAATGTCCAGAAAGTAAGTTCTTTAAAATATCATCATAAAATTGATTCAACTCTTCATGATTTTCACCCCCAAATGCCAAAGCTTGTAGTAGTGACTCAAAACTCCTCAGTGCTTGCTGCCACCCAGTGTCCCTATACACAGTACCGCCCAACAGAGCAAGAAATAAAGGAGTAAACCCACACACTGCCATCGAGTTAATTCCTACTTTCTGCAACCTTAGAGGGCGCTTCTGAAGCTGTAGGTCTTTATGGGGAGCAGGTAACGGTTTATTTTCTCCCGTGGAGCAGCGGGGGTGGGGGTGTTAGCTGTCCGTGCTTACCTGATAGAGCCACTAGAGCACTTTTAGAGTAAGGAACAGCGTTTTAGTACAGTTAAATATTCCTAGGCTGAATCCTTTGTTAAAAGTATATACTGCTCTGAGTAGTTTCCCATGGAAAATTTATCCACTGAAAGCACTTCCATTCCTTAGAGCTTCGTATTCCTTGAAATGTCTTTATAAAATTTATTTTTAAATGGTTTTCACTGCTGCTGCTTGCTCTTGTTCACCATAGGATTTAACCTCTATCCAGTAGTCTTTAAATCCAGTAGGATTTAACCTCTATCTAGTCTTGCAAAGTTCAAGTCTAGAAAAAAGGTGACTTGAAAAAATAACTACCACCCTTGGATTAAGTGCAAACAGCGACTAAACAAGACACCAAATAGGACAGTCATGTGACGGAGGCTGAAGTCAGCTAAGCACATGGGCTGTGTCACCCTGGACACACCTGGTGGTCTGGAATGAGCACCAGTGATGATTTCCTGAGTAGAGGGCAGATTCCTCATGGAACACAGAGACACTTTAGAGTACACTGAAGAGATAGGAGTCTTAGGTTAACAAACTAGACAAAGACTGAATGTCCTATCCTGCCTTTGTAGGAGAAAAGATGGGACAGTCTGTGTCCACAGATTGAGTCTTGCAAACACTGTGTGGCAGTTTTATGTTGTCTTTGAGGTTCACTGAGTTAGAATCACCTCGACAGCAGTGGGTGTGCTCCTTATAGCTCACAGGTGGCCCCAATAGTTTGCACTCAACTGCTGACTTACAGGTTAACGGTTCAAACCCACCTAGTGGTGCCAATGATCAGCATCAAGAGTACAGCCAAAAAAGTCTATGAAACCATTCTACTCTAGCACGCAGGATCACCAAGAGTCAGAATCAATAAAGGAACAGCACACAATCTATGTAATAGCAGAAAGAGGAGCCTCTCTGCTCCTGTATTCAGTCTGAAAACACACAGGGCCAGTAGCATTAAGTGAGGTGGGTGATCTATAGAATAGAGTGAACCATTTGGGTTGGGGGCCCCGGGGGAGCAGGATGTTCACAGGGGGCTAAAAGGCATAGCCCCGCTTCTAGTTCCTTTTCCTAAAGCAGGACCCATCCTTTGAGCTGCATTTTGACACTGGAGCATCTACTCCAAACCTTGCTCCGAGAAAAGGGTGTGGGGATATGTGGATAATATACTGACTTCTACGATAATATACTGACTTCTACTCTGAAATAAGGTTTGTGTGATTTCCAAAGTGGTATATAATTGTTAACATTTCTAGGAGGTGATGGCATTATTACTAGTTTCACCAAGAAAAGCTTATAAGTTATTACTTGCCAGCTTAAGCCCCTTATAAGTAGTTATGTACTGCTAAATGGCTGTGTAATCAAAAGCTACCTTAGCCTCCACCCCTAGTCCTAGGTCAAACCCACAGAATTACAAATGCAAGGAAGGACAGCTGTCTGACTTCTCACTTTCCCTCTTTTTGCAGAGTGGTCACCAATAAGCTGCTGCTGTCCGTCATCATCCTATTGGAGCTTGCCATCCTGGGAGGCCTGGTCTATTACAAATTCTTCCACCACCATTAAACTTCTAAAGAGAGGGACTTGAGGACCAGAACCTTGACCCTGTGAAGTAATAGTAGGGACAGGGAATGAGCTGCTGCTGTGGGCTGACAGTTCAAGGATGACTGTCCAGCCAAACTGTGGGAGGAGGGAGGAGAGACAGAAAGCCACCTAAATGTGAAAGAAAAGCCACAAGACCAGAGATATACCAAGGTAATAAATGCTGTTTATGATTCCTTGACATTTATATAGTACTCCAATATATTAACATCCTGTGAACTGCAAAAACATACAGTCATAGCATTGGTCAACATAATGAAGAAGAATTTTACAATCTTGAGTGTGCACAAATGTTCTCAATTAAGGCGATATTGACCTGGCCAGCCATTTAGTACCTGTCTCCTCAAATGCTTTTGGAATGCCCATAGTGAAGCACCTCTCAGCCCTCAGTATTTCTACATTCTCACACGTTCTTGGTTTTCCGATTCATCTGGAGAACGGGGGTTAGGAAGCTGGTCATAGACAATGTGCCCTCCTTCCCTTGTCTGACCAAAACTTGAAGCAATCACATCCACTGCCAGGCCAGCCGTCGCCTTCACTTCTTCCTCTGAGGCGGCCAACCGAGGATTGACTTCAACAAGATCCAGTGCTGACAGCAACCCTGTAAGAACAAAGTATGGAAAAACCTCAGCACAGTCCCTCGGCCACTGCTCCCAGGGACTGAGAGAACAAGGCAAGGTAAAAACCAGTCATTATCTACCACAAAATCATCTACTGTCAAGGAGTCCTTGCTGCCTCGCCCTCTTGTCGTGAATTGAAGTTAAAACACTGGTGAACTAGTCATGCTGGAGAAACCTTGAAGGCGCTGCAGTGGGTCATCTTGGCTCAACTATTGTCATTTAAGGCACTTCGAAATAAGGAAAAGGGATTTGGGGAAAGACGATATAAATGAGTTTCCAATGTGTCCGATGGGAAAGTGGGTTCCGTTTCCAGTGTGACTAAGACCCATCTAGATGTATCTGCCTAGAATTCGGTAAAACAGGACTAAGGACAGTCTCCCACCTCTCTAAGGCCAGAGCTCTGTAACCACTTTTGAAGCCTTATCGCTATATATCTTGCCAGAACCCACCCTGTGTGCCCTATTCGATAGTTACTGTCACCCCTACAGGTCTGACCTGTAGGGGGCAGATTCACTTTTACTACTCCCAGCCATCTGACCTACTTAGTTATGGGAAGACTCTGACATACGCTGCTTGTTCACCTTGTACTCCAGTTACCTTCAGTGCAGGTTTGGTAAAGGCAGAAATGCTGAGCAAAGTTCTCAGCATTGAACCTGTGGCTTAAAGGAGGTTGAGGGGAAGAACGATTAAAAGAACCTACCCAGGTCTGTCATCCACCCTCTCACCCTTCACACCCCCACTGCCCGACACAGTGCCTCAGTCTGAATGAAGCTTAACCTAAATAATCTAGTATTTGAGAATCCCGCCAGTATTTGACAGGATGGCTATAAAGTCTGGAAACGTGAGCAAATCTACTTAATAGTCTATGGAGTACATTTCAGTACATTGTTAGGGATTTTATTATGTCCTTCGAAAACAGAGTGAATAAAATAAATCCTGTCCTCTTTTAACTATGCTGTAAAAAAATTTTTCTCTGGGACAAAAGGGGGGGAAATATAGTTACCCCCAAATAGGAAAAGATACGGTGAAGTCCCAGTCCTCCCCTCACTCACTGCCATCAAGTCCATTCTGACTCCGTGACTTGACAGGCCTACACAGAAAGAGAGCCGAGATATTTCTGATACATATCTTTCCAGGACCTGTCAGCCTCACTTTTCTCCCATGAAGTGGCTGATGGATTCAAACTGCTGACCTGAGGCTAACCGTCCAATGTATAATCCATTCTGCCACCAGAGCTCCCTTCCTAATTCCTGGTGGTTGTGAGATTGTTTGGAAAATAGTCTCTGAAGATACTACTAGTTCCCAAGAGGTCATGCACAAATAAGATGGGTGGTGTTCTTATTAAAGAAGAGACCAGGGAAATGACCATGGAGAGATGGAGGCAAAGAGCTGAACTATCTATGATCCAAGGAACACCAGCGATTTGCCAGCAGCAGCAGAAGCTGCAGAGAGGTTTGGATCAGCTCCTCTTTGGGGCCCTCAGATGCAATCAACTCTGCTGGCAATCTGACTCCAAACTCTCCTGAGTCTCCAGATCTGAGAGAGAATAAATTTCTGGTTTTATAAGCCGGCCATGTTTGTGGTACTCTGTTAGAGAAGCCCTGTAAATGCATTTGCAATATGCTCAATGTCATTACCATTCATAGCAATGTGCAGGAGTGAACAGGGAGGTAGTGTTGCCCTTCCACCAGGCTCTGTATGTGGGTCTGTGACATACTGCCTCCGACTGTATCTCAGATATCCACTGACTAAACCTGTACTTTCAGCATATTCCAAAGCAAGTACCCAGGGGGGTCCGCATATTCAAAGGAGATGGGTGTTTCCAGATGATTGCCACCCTCCTCCCTGTCTATCAGTTTAAGCATAGTGCCACAGTTTGCACACAGTATGACCACTGTTTCTCCTGTTAAGAGTTCCATGCCCGACCCCACCTACCCAAGTAATGTCATTAGGAACAAAGTGGAATGAGACTTTTCTTGCCAGTGTTTGATGTTTGAGACTGTGCCTTCCTGTACTTACCTGCCCAAGGGTCTAGCGGGCACCAGCACCAGGGAGACTAAGTCCCGGTCCATTTCTATCCCAGGTAGTGAGGGCGCCTTATAGCCCTGGACTCAACCTGGGATCACTAGGCTTTATCCACACCTTGATGTCTTAAGATGGTTACAGAAATATTACCGTGTAGTGGCTGCTACAATGGACTCATAGATGACAACTGTGAAGGTGGCACAGGACCAGTTAGTGATTCGTTCTGTTGTGCAAAGGGCCTCTGGGAGTCAGAGCCAACTTGACGGCACCCAACAACTTTCCCACAGAACTGTAAACTATTTGCAAACAAACAGGAGTCTGGGGACAGGAATCCCTTTTAGCCACACTTTGGAATCTACCATTCCATCCAATATCTCTCCAGGTTAACGCTCCTCTCAAATAAGTCCGAATACAAAACTTCAAAGATAAAAACTTTAACCTCAAATTCCAACTCTCAGAACTAACTAACCTCCTGACATTAACACTGCTTTATCTTGTCTTTTGCTCTTAATCTGCCTTTTGATAATATAGACAAAAGGAACAGTATTAGTCGGACAATTCACTCCTTTGTTTCTTAAGTGAGTGGACATTAGCACCTCTCCACGATGTGGGCACACCTTGGAGATACAGTGCAGTTTACATGTTCTGGTTACCTGCCGCACACAAAACACTTTTGTTCACATTGTAACCTATGCCTATGAATATGCAATCACATTGTAAGTCAAATAATTCTAAGAATTACCAAAATGTGACAGATGCAACGTGAGCACAAGCTGTTGGCAAAATGGTGTGCCAACCCAGCGTAGCCCGACCCAGGGTAGCCACAAACCCTCAATTTGTAGCCACAACAAAAATGAAGGAACTGCAGTCAACATGGGTTATGCCCATATTCCCTAAGCCTATTTCAATGCAAGCCGGGTCCTCACGTGCCTCTAAATGGATAGTCCCTCATTCGGTTGGCCATATGACTTTTAGATGTAATTGTTCAAGTACAAAGTCTGCACTGACACGGGCTAGCAGAGAAGAGCTACAAAAAAAGGTTTCAGATTTACGTATGGTGTTGACAGGCTATAGGATATTTGCTACATACCTGTGTTGTGTATTTCCTCAGTAATGTACATGCCTTCTCGATAGGTCAGTCCCCCTGCAACAGGGGTTCCCGTAGCTGGAGCCAGTGCAGGGTCAAATGCATCAATATCAAAACTCAGATGGATTGGCCTTTGTCTTCTAGAGAGAATGAGGATAAAAGAGTAGCCGTGGGGTTGTGCTTGGGCATTCCTCCTCCCTATGCCTGTGCCAACATGATCATGTAGCTCCCAGTGAGGACCTTGAGTAATGGAACACAATTCTAGGCTGCCTATTCCTGACATACTGAGTATCAGCACATTAGCTTTCTGTTCACTACTTTACAATACTGGCCTTTGTTCTGCATGCCGCACACCAACTAACCCATTTATACTTCTGGCTTCCCCGGCCATTAGAGCCTCTCGGTCAGGAGAGGTGGGATTCCTTCTAGATGTCCTCAGGCTCTGCCACATTCGAATGTACAGTGGATTGGACTAGTTGACAGTTGCTATCATTCCCTCTGAGGGTAAAAGCAGCTGAACTTAACTCTGATTTTATGTCTGCAATCTTCTAATTTCAGTTCAGCCCAGGTGTCTGTGCAGTGGCTAACACTGAAAATATCCTTACACCAAATAATTACCCACATTTCTTACCACTGATATACTAACTACCAGAAGCTATTCTGACAAAATCATCCAGAAACAAAGGCTCAGTATTAGAAAAATGCTCTTAAAACTAGTATATGATTAGCACTCGTGTTATCTTTCTTTACCACACTAAGACTTCCTGAATGTAAAACCCTCCAGGTAAGCTATAGAAAAGCTGGGAAGAATGAAGAAGTTGGAACAATGAATGTTCCTGATCTTAAAAGATAACCAACACTGAAAATGGAACTGAACAAAAATTCAAAGAGGCAGAGGATTGGGACAATGACGTATAGGAAAATCCTTTCCAACCCCCGAGAAAGATTTTGAGTTAAGTTTCAGATTATGCCTTCCTGAACTGTGAGTTTTTTACATGTACATTGTGTTTTTTGTGTGTCTTAAGAAAAGGCTGTTCTCCATAGCCTGGGTAGAAGTATGCTGTCCACTGGGAGTCTGCCTTTATTTCCTTTGGGACCTAGGAGACATTGCTGTCATTACTTACTTGCCAATCAGCAAATCAAAGGTCTGTTCCATGACCTTCTGGATACCCAGTCGGTCAATGTCCCTCATGGAATAATACTGGATGTCATAGTTCTTCAAAATAAAACTGTGGTAGACATAAAGGAAAGGATCCTTAATTCACAAAGCATTTTAACAAATGTGTGTTTAGAGGGGCTTTGCCTTTAGAAGTCAAGTATCAGCCTTTCAGATGAAACATTACGTCCCCCAAACAGACCCAGAGCCCAACTTACTGTTCAGGGGGATCCACGTCTCTTAGGCCAATATACACAATATCTGGGGAAGAGATACAAGGTTTGAGCCATGAAAATCCTGGGAGTCGTGGTACCTGTGAAAGAAGGCATGAACAAAATCAGGAACCCCTGGTTTCATCGGTGTGTGGGCTGCCTTCTCTACCTACCCACAGGATAGGTTTAAAGCAACATAAAGCACTGGATCTGGGAGAGAACAGAAAGTAGTAATGTTACAGAAGGGCAGCTCAATACCACAGTAGAGAGTTCTCAAGAATTTAAAAAAAAAAAAAAAACCCCCCAATGGCCTCAGTTTCTCATTAACTTATCTAAACGACAGGAATCCTGCTGACTGCAGAAGGCCTTCTCTACCTACCCACAGGATAGGTTTAAAG